ACTGTAAACTCGATGCGTGCAGCGGCGACCGAGAGAAGGAAACGATCTGCGGTGGAGACGAGGAAGACGATGCGTGAAGCTGAGCATCTGCTCACTTTCTCTTCATCGGCGCTTTCAGACTAAATAAGATCGTCTTCGTTGGAGAGCGGGGGAGGAAAGGGCTGCAGGAAATGTAAGAGGAACTGGGCAGGCGCTTAAAAATAATCTGCCTCAATTTCATAATTAATCTGCGCTTTTCACACAATTAGCACGTTAATTAACCCAAAACTGCCACCACTGTGCAGGGATGTGCGCGCTGCAGAGAGAACGACGAGTTAGACGCCAGAGTGGAAGATCAGGAGGAAAGTGGCGAGCGCTGGAAGGAGGACAAACGGGGGGAGGTGAACGCGGGGGGAGGAGGAGGAGGGCCAGGATAACGGTCATATGGTGACGAGCAAAGAAGACGGACGGCAGGTATAAGACGTGGACGCTGCAGCTGTGGCAGCAAGTGGGGGCGGGGCCACACACTAGTGAAGCAAAAGTTATTCCAGCTGTGCTGATGTTTGAGCCTCTGTTCTCCACACACACACACACACACACACACACACACACACACACACACTCTCAGGTCTGGCGAGGGCCGAGTGTGTGGGCTGCAGATCAACCCACAGATCCACCTCGTTAATCTCCATGACGACAGAGATGCTAAGGCAGCAAATTAGCAGAAAGGGGAGAAAACGGGAATCTCACAAAAGAACAAGAGTCAGGAGTTAAACACACACCGTACGACCTTTGCAGCGGCGCGCTCGTGCAGACAAACGTGGATGTTCGTTGGTGTCGGCCATCCTGTCCAAACCTAAGAACATCACCTATGACCTGCATCATCATATAAAGGTTTAATCACTCGTATCACGTTTGAGTCAGCTGTGAGATTACGATGATTCAAAGTTCGATCTACAGTCGTGGTTGTTCCTCAGTTCCTCCTCACAGCCCACCGTCTCACACCTCTGTGTCCATGTGAGTGCATGCTTGTGTTTCCATGCTTCCATCACACATTCACAACGGCTGGGTTCACACAAACTCTGAAGTCACGCACACGGGAAAGAAAAGCGCCTCACTCACCGATCATGTGATTGGCGACGTGGATCTGGATCTCTCTTTCTGTCTCGAACGTCATTTGGCATTTAATACACTGGTAGGTCTTCTTCTGTAACAGAAGGAACACAGGAGACTCGTCAGCGCGATCAAGCAAACATGTGAGCACATCACACACATGCAGACAAACTGCACAGGATAAAGAATTATTAGAGCAAAGCTACCAGAGGAAAGTGAAAACGGCTAAAAATGGAAAATTGCACTTTTCCGCACTCGCAGTCATCCCTGCACATGTGAGACATTTCAACCTCACAAATTCTTGCACTGAAAGTCCAAGTCTGTGGAGGGTTGGGAAAGGAAGAGGAGGTATGCAGCTACACAAACACCAAAGCTGGATCGAAAGCGAGAGAAGGAAATGACAAAAGGAGGGTGTGAACGCGAACGAGAGGAAGGGAAGAAGCAATAAAAGAGAAGGAGACGAAGGAGAGAGAGAAGGAGACGAAGGAGAGAGAGAAGGAGACGAAGGAGAGAGAGAAGGAGCCACAGAGAGGAACCAGAGGCTCTACTTATCCATTCACAGCACACAGTGATCACTCATGCACAAACACATACAAAATACACAAAGGAACCACTTCCACTGTCTCTCTGCTGCTTCAGCCTGCTAGGATGACTACACACACACACACACACACACACACACACACACACACACACACACACACACAAATCCTACTTTGTCTGCTTTGTGCTGTTAGACTAAGCAGAAACAAAGGTGCAGGTAAGACAGAGAGTCCCTGGGAACTTCAACACACACGTGCTCGCTTGCAAGTACACACTCAGACACACTCACACACACACACTCAGTCACACACAC